GAAGATTAAAATCACTGAGGAAAAGCTTTTACTTGCACTTAGTATTGTAGATATGATTTCTGGAACCAGAATTTTAAATTGTACTTCCTTGTAAGATGAATGCTGCTTCGGAATTTCCTTGGACTTTCTTTTCCATTATCTTAAATCTCCCACTGAGAAATAACTTGACGAACTCTTTACGTGATGTACTAAAATAGCTTTATTTTAAAGAGCCCGACGCATCGCACTTCTAGCGGTGTTCTCGGAGATATTTGAATAAGGAAACAGATAGATAGATTTATAGTTGACAAAACTCAGTCTAAAAAAAAGTCTCTCTAAACGCATATTATAAAAACATCGCAAGTGCTGTTGTAGCAATAAGCTACGGTATGGAATTTGATAGCATGTTGGTTGCAAATTTTATTATTTTGTCATTTTACTTCGATAAAAATGCAATATCTAAACTAATTTAACTAACGAGAACTAGGTTAGGAATTCTATTTTAAGCAAGCAAAAGACACAAAATAATTATTTTATTTTATTTTTATTGTAACCGGATATGGTAAAGTATGTGAAGGTCTCTTGTTTTAATACAGCATAAATATAAACAAGGATAAACATTTAGTTTTAGTTTTTAAATAATATAAATTTCGTTCTTTTCTTTTATTTGAAGTAGAAACGGGTCACGCGCTTGTGCTATACGATAATAAATTTTAAATTCAGTTTTTTCGAAGTAAAGAATTTTCACCATTCTCTCTGCATACCTCCGTGAGGTAATTAATTGATAGCATGTCAGGTTAACAGTTGGAAGATCTGGAGTTCGAATCCCAGAGAAAGCATCACTGATTTTTCATGTTTCTGCTTCGAAACGTCTGCTTCGACTTTACACTGAAGCCCAACTTAACTGTAGTGGACGATAATTCATAACAATTAAATGTGGAGACTCGGTTTTTTACTTCCTTGTACGAAGTAAAAAGGAAGTATTGTAATCGCGAAAAGTTTCAGGCAGCATATTTCAACGAAAATATCCATTTTGACCGCTATCGAATGCAATTTAACGATGTTTTTGCGTCATATCTGTACGTAAGGACAGAATAAAAGACTCTTTTCCTCCAAAAATATTATAAAACTGCTTTAAAATGAATTCTGAAGAGAATTTTTCGTGCCGTCTGTACGAACGTATGTACGTACGTATCTCGCATAACTCAAAAACGAGTAGCCTCAGAACGTTGAAATTTTGTATATAGGATTGCTATAACATCTAGATGTGCACCTCGTATTTTGGTTGCAATCGGCCGCACCAAACATATATATCCACTCTGTTACTCGGCACAGTGATCTCAGTTTCTTTACTCTTATATGTTTGTAAATTGTACATTTTTTGCTTTAAAAATGATTGAATTATGTTGTTCTTATCTTCTGGTTAAGGTTTTTATGCCTTTCGTAATTCTGGAAGCAATATTTGTACAATTATCAACAATTTAAAAGCTGTTTAAGTGCGGTTAAGTTTTAAATAACATGGCGGTTTGAAACAGCAGAATTGTAGATTTGTTACCAATCTAGAGAGACTAAGCTTCGCAACAACAAAAATAACGCCTTCATTTATTATTGCAAAATAAATCATGCTTAATCCTTTCTGGAACTTTTTCGAGGAAATAAGTGTTTAAGATTTACTTAATTTTCAATAATTAGTAATTTAATTTTTAATAATTAGTAATTTTTATTACAGATATTTGGAGCTTTTATGTATTTTTTTCTTGTCGCGAAGTGAAAACTGAATTAATTGAATGAGAAATACTCAATCGTCTGTAAAAAACTGTTTCTTTTTTGTTTTGTTTGCTTAATTTCTTTTTTACATCGTTCTAGCTTTATTATAGTATTTGAAAAGAACATGTGGCAACAATTAGCTAATTCTTTAAATGATATACTTTTTGTGCATTCTGAGTTATAATATGAGTGAAATATAATACTGTTAAGTGAACCTAGTGCCAGAGTGTCGCTATGTTAAACAAATAGAGTGAATTTTAAAGAATGTCTTTATTCTATTGTGGTTTATGCGCTGTCAGCGAAGTAGATTTAATTAAATCCAATAAGTTTAAAAGAAATGTAAGAAACAAATGCGTATAATTTAATATTCCGTACAAGGAAGTCATGTGGTGTACACATCAGATTTGTTTCCTACACAGTCGCTTTTTAAGTGAAAGAGAATGTGAAGAATTTTCTTCTTCCTTATTGTGTGTCTTCGCAATGTAATTGTTGGCCAGTCCGGCTACCTGTCAGGAGATCCAGAGTGCGCGCTGTAATGTATTTTGCAGTAATTGACAAAACAGGCAATCTTCTTATTAGAAATTCTTAAATTTTATTTCTATTTCACGGAGGTAGATAATTTGAAGAAATTCTTTAGTGGCAAAACTTTCATATTACTACTAGCTGTTAAAAACTTCAGAATTCTAATTTAAAACAATTTCTAACGTTGCTGAGCAACGGTTACGTAATACAAATATGGCGTTGCCACTTCAACAATAAATATAGTTATTTATTAAATAACAGGATATTACAGTGCGAAACCTAGCGAAGGCTTAGGGCTATTTCTCCGGTGAAATTGCATCTAAAAAAAAACCTAATATGATACAGTAGTATCTGACTAAAAATACGGCGTAGGATAATTCATCGAAACTTGGATCTGCGAATGGGTCTCCTAGGTCATCATTTAAGTGGGGGGAGATGTTTGTATAATGATGAGAGGTACTAGCACCTAACCTTAATTTGCTGTACAATGTTTTACAAAATGTATGTTACAAAGTTTTGCCTTTTTATGTTATGTATTTTTTATTTTAAATTATATTCTATTTAGCCGAAAAGCGCATAACTCAGAAGGGCTATTAGTCTACAAACGGCATTTTGCGCCGAATTACTAAAAACTTTGCATCACTTTTCAAATTGTTGCCACCAAATATTATGGCCCTATATTATATTTAAAGAAATTAAATAATGAAAATCTGCGTGAAAGTGTGAATGTTTCTTGCACTGTGAAAAAACAACGGTACGTAGAGCCATAAAATTTTGAATAACGTAGTCGTACCCCCGAATATGGGCATCTGGAAGCCCGAGTTTTGAATTTCGAATTTGTTTTATCATATGTTTTATATTTTGTAAAATTTTAACGAATTTTCGAGTAACAAACTCGGCTACTTCAAAGTGAGCAGTGGCAACACTCTACGGAATAAACCATTTTTATCTGGAATATTTGAAATCCCGTTTTGAATCCCCCCTTAAAAAAAAAAAAAAAAAAAAAAAAAAAAAAAAAAAAAAAACTGAAATGTTTCAGATTTTAAATTACGTCCAAAGGGGCGTTTTTTAACATTGTTGTGTGTTACTTTCTTTATTAAATATCATGTTCCTCGCACTTAAACCATAAGATCCAGTGCAACAGCAATATCGCAAAATAGTTTTAAAACGAGCATATCTTTAGAATTTCCGATACAGAGACTCACGCGCTGGAGATAAAAATGTTTTTTCTGCACAACGTTGCCATTGCTCGCTTTGAAATCCTTGAGTTTGTTAATCAAAAATTCGTCAAAGTTTTAAAAAATAGGAAATTGATCATAAAACAAATTTCAAATTTCAAATTTGGTCTTCCACATGCTCATATTCGTTGGAGGATTACGTTATTCAAAATTCGATGACTCTATGTACCGTTATTTTATGACAATGTGAGAAATATACATACATTTACGCAGATTTTTCATTATTTAATTTCTTCAAATATAATGCAGGACTCTAACATTTTGTGGCAACAGTTGGAAAAGTGAACCGACATTTATGAGTCCGACGCAAAATGCCAAAACGAAACTAATAGTCCTTCGGGATTCAAATCCCTTTGGACTAAAAAAAAAAAAAAAAAAAAAAAAAAAAAAAAAAAAAACGCCCCTGTTGCAATTAATATAAATTTTTGTTTATTTTTATTTTTTACGCTATCCATAACTTGGGTCGTTTTTGTATTTATATTTACTTTATAATATCATACGCAATATATAAATTTTATCCCAGTCGCCTGTGGTATGTGGTACTACAGTGATGCTGAGCCTAGCTTCTAAGTGTACTTGTTCAAGCAGATAACATCATTTGAAAAATTTTCTCTTTTTTATTTTAGTGGGGTAGATTAAGTACAAAGAGATGATTATTTAAGGGAAACACAAAATAAGAATTTTTTAGTTTAAGAATTAATAAAAACGACATTAAAGAATAAGATTTAAAAAGCATTGTAGAGCCATCAGGTTATATTGGAACAGTGCCCTGAAAAATGGGCAATGCCTTCGCTGGGACTCGAACCTGCCCCTCTCAAATACCCACGAGTGTGTTACCGTTACACCACGAAGGGCATGCCGAAAAGTTGGAGAAAATGCCTTATTGTATATGAAGGATTTTTTAACGATCCTTCAGTTCAAACTGGCTCTGTCGTATCGATATTTATCAAAGAATTGCTCCAGAAACTGCGTCCAATTCCTACGTCTCTGTGCGTAATCTCAGAACCAATCTTTATCTAAAAGCTATTTTCGCTTTCCTTTTCAGCAATTTAAACTCATTAGTTTTTCAGAGTCTTCCTCACAATTTGCTGTGTAGCTTTCAACGCATCAGTGACCGTCAGGGAAATGAGAATCTGACATGCAGCAATCACCACAACGAACTGCATTCATCAGCGTCATAAACCGAAATAAATGAAAAATGCCCTGTTATGTGCCATTTTTAAATTATTGACGATTAGCATTTATGGCAAAATTATTTCTAGATGATATACGGTGTTGTGAAGAGCAACTTGGTTAAGCACATTCAAACGTGGCAATTCAGCAGATCTTGTCACGAAAAGAGGAGGAGTGGGCAACTCAACAATTCTGCTCTTCACGCAATCCTTTGACTGACCAAGCCAATCTTGGAGCGCAACCTGTTTGTGTTGGGAGGAAAGAGAAGAATGGGGAGGGTGAGCAGGAAAAAAGCCGATGTAGGCCAAGAAAGGTAAAGCGCTCGGTCCCGTTTGGGAAATAGGACAGCGACTTTCTCTGGTTCGGGAGATGTCGTCTGCTGGTTTTCTTCACTTTCGAAATAACTCTCACCTCCGGCCGGGAACGGAAGAAACGTGAAGTTCTTTTGCTCCTTGTGAACCGCGCAAAGAGTTCTCTTCGAACGTAAGAAAGTCAGCTGTTGGTGGATGATTTATAGGATTATTTTCTTCCCTGCTGTGCTGTGGTCCCAAATTATGATCATCTTGCCAGATTCCTTGTGGATTACAAAACAAAGGAACACATTCGGAATTTGAATACAGGTATGTTCTATTGGAAATTTTTATATTTAACATTTTTGTAGATTACTTAGAGAATTCGTTTTATATATAAGTAAAAGAAAGTTCTTTCAAGCTTTTTACATCAATGAAAATTTTAGCTGCTTATGTATCAAGTAACTATATTTATTATTTTAGCAAACTAACGGATCAAACAACAATGCTTCAAATTTTATGAACAATTAGCACAACTTGTTTGCTATTTCATGTCTTCATAACATCTTTAAGATCTTTTATCTTATATTTCTGCATATGTACATATGAATGATATTTAGTCTTTTCCATTGCTCAAAACGCCTACCTTTGAGCCGCATGGATAAGACCACTTAACACAGGTAGTTTCAATTCGGTCTTTAATCTGGGAAAACCGGCTGACTATGTCAGTATTTTTGTATTTGAAATATGAAAATGAGCCATTTCCCCTATAAAGTACTCTACAAAGGAATATCCTATTTGTCAAATAGCTTTCACGCGCTTTGTAATAATTACAATCAATGAATTAATGAACTACCGCTCATAATTTCGTCAGGATTCACTCTGAATGTGAATACAAAAAGTGTTATTTCTTTATGTAGTTAAATTTTTTAGCATAAATTATAATTGACCGCTACAATGTGACTGAAATGCGTAAAAGTAGATGTGGCAATAAAATAAACACGTGTCATCTCATTATGAGATAAACTCGATGGCATTAATGAGATAAACACGATTAATGAGATAAACACGATGGCATTAATGAGATAAACACGTGTCGGCTTGTAGATTTTTAGAATTTGTCGAAGCCGGGAAACTGAAGAAATCAACAATGGCGTCACCGGGATTCGAACTCTGGACCTACCGAATACTCGTCGAGCACGCTTGCAGTCACACCACAAAACTATGCAGAAAGGAGGGAGAAAATATCTTATAAGCTACTACAGTGAAATTCTGCAGAGGAATCTGTAAAATGTGTATCAGGCAGGTTTTGTATAAAGTTTATAAACTTAAGCTATTCTTTCTGATGTGTGATTAAACGCAGCAGTTAGAATTAGACAAAGTTTATATGTATTACAAAAAGGCAGACCAATTAATCTTAGAAAATGCATAATGAAAGCATTCTACCAAGACAAGTAATATAAAAAAAATTTTAAAGTCAATTTCTACTTAAATAAACAAAGAAAATTTTTTTTAAATGGAAAAAAAAATAATGAAAAATAAAATACAAAAAAAAATTTTTTTAATTAGTGAAAAACTGTATTAATATCAAGTGTCATCCACTAGAAGTTTAAAAAAATGTATTTGAACTTGAGTGGATGAATAAATAGTATTTTATTAACGATTGAAAATTTGAACAGGATATAAGAAGAGTGTGAGCTAATAGCAGGAGTTTAAAAAAGGTAAACCTTTAATGCCATATCAACATAAAATACGAGTACTATCCTACCACATTACCTAACATATATCAGAGATTAAAATTCGATGCTTATTAATTCGAATTTTAAAATACACTAATTCGAATTTAAATACGAATAACTAGATTGTTATTGGTTTCAAATGAAGTAATATAAAAGATTTTTGCCTTAGGAATTTCTATGCAGAATATTAAATGCTACTGACAATGCACTATTACATCAATAGTCGACTTAACTATGTATTCATTTTTCGCCAAGATCTTTCGTATTTTGTGTCAAATTATAGATTAAACGAAACATATTAAATTTAGTTCTAGATTGCTTTAAGAATAAGAATAAGAGTGTCGTCCAAAGCAATGCCGTGAATTCATCGGTATAACATTGGAAGAAAAGTTGGAAGGTGGATTTGAGTTTATTAATTACTGAAAGCAAGCAAAGATTACATTCCTAAGATGAGGAATTCCTTCATGGAGGACGTTGCAACAGAAGCTAGCTTGTATTCACGTAATATCCGGATAAAGCATAGAAGTAAGATAAAGTTCAATAATCGAGAAAAGAATCCGAGATAAATTACTTTTAGCCATTTGGCCTCTATTGCAGCTATTTGAATAGGATAAATCATGTTAGCGCTATTTGCCTTGAAGACATTACTTCATTGTTATATTACTCAGGAAACTGTGTCTTAAATTTAAATTTAATGTAAGGAAAACCCCAAAGAAGTCTGACGTAAATAGTCATTTTTACCGGCAAAAATTGAAAACGCGACATAGCCATTAGTAATTTGTGCTGACAGCATAATCTACGGGCTTTCGAGAGGAAGTGTGAACTTTGAAGGTAAGAATAAAATTAATTATACGATGATGTTTTTAAAAATTGGAGAAAATAATTTATCTAATTTGCTTTGTTTTACATTTATTGTAATGTAGAAAGAAATTCAAATTTGAATTTATTGAATATATGAATTGAGTTAATATGAATTGAGTTAGGTTCTATTACTTAAAAGCAAACTGTATCCATAAATCTGAAAATAAAATGCTTCATGCAAAGTTATTAGCTCAAAAGGACTATTAATTTCGTTTTGGCATTTTGTGTCGAAAACAAGTCTGAATCACTTTTCATATTGTTGCCACCAAATATTACCGACCTGTATTATATTTAAAGAAATTAAATAATGAAGAATTTGCATAAATGTATGTATGTTTCTCGCATTGTGAAAAAACAACGGTAGTACCTCTAGAGCCATCAAATTTTGAATAACGTACGTCTCCGCCCGAATATCGCCATCTGGAAGCCCAAATTTGAAATTTGGACTTTGTTTTATTATCTTTTTCATATTTTGTGAGGCACTTATGAGTTTTTGATTAAGAAACTTAACGATTTCAAAGCGAGCAATGGTAACACTGTACCCCCCCCAAAAAAAAATCTTCAGCTTTGCCAGACTGTGTATCGGAAATTCTAAAGATATGCTCTTTCAATATTTTGTGATATTGATATTGAATTGAATTTTATGGTTTAGGTGCGAAGAACATGCTATTTAATAAATAAAGGTAACACGCAAAACTTTAAACAAAAAGCCTCTAGGACGTAACATAAAACCTGAAATCTTTCAAAATTTTTTTAAAATATTGTATTTTTGTGTAATAAATACTAAATTTGCTTAATTATTTTCGAAGACCATATGATAGAGTGGATAATATCGTAGAAAGCCGGAACTCTTTTCCTAAGTAGCAAATGGGAGGGTCGCATGGAATTTTCATGATTTCCCCACAATTAAGACAAACAGGAATCAGTTTCCCTAGGAAACTCCTTCACAAATACATCTTCCCTAAGAAAATAATTCTCAAGATTTTTTTCCCTCCCGTAATAAATATTGTAACCTGTAGAGACATTAGGTATTTTTGGAAGCAGATAAGATGAAAAATGAGCAAGAGCCTTCACCGGGAATCGAACCACGGACCTCTGGAGTACCGGTCCAGCGTGCAGAACACCACTACACCACGAGGGAGGGAGAAATACCTCGTATACTCCCCCTTTTAAAGGGCGATTGGGGGTTTTTAGGGGTCCCAATCGCCAAATCCTGGGTGAGGAAAATCATCATCCAAACACCCTTTTAGTTCGGGCGCCACTGTAGAGACATTAGGTATTTCTGGAAGCAGACAAGCTGCAAATGAGCAAACATCTTCGAAGGGAATCGAACCACGGACCTCCGGAATACCGGTTCGGCATGCAGAACCACTACACCACGAAGGCGGGAGAAATACCTTATAAACCTACCTTAATTATTTTCCGAAGAAAGCCTAGAACAAAGTTTTAGCTTCAAAATAATCTTTGCACTCATACTCACAAAATTACCTATCCCCATACTTTGGCATATTATTGAATGATTTCTCTGCTTTGGAAAACTTACATATTTTGTATCTGTAGGAATAAAAGGTAACGAGTTGTTAGATATTACAGTAAAAGTTGCTATTGAAGAATCCAGTCAACTCGTCCTTTCAGGGATGTCAGCAAGGTCATCAAGCAAAAATCTTAAATAAATAGCAAGGAATCTAGGATGACCAGTCAAGTAATAAATTAAGAAGCTTGAAACCTAGAGTGGAATTGGGAATAAGTCATGTTAACTCAAATTCGAATCGGCCACTCCCAAATCACTCACAATTATCGACTGAAAGCGGACAGCAAGCCAGTTTGTCCCAATTGTGATAATATTCTGTGTGTACGTTATTTTTTAATAGAGTGTCCGAATTTTATCAGACTTAGATTAAAGCATTTTAACGAGTGTGACTTGACTGTATAATCGGTAAAGAGGTCAATAATAATTTATTTCAACACGTTAAAGAAACAGATCCTTTATTATTTAATTTGATTTAGTTTTTATTATTGTGTATTTTTAATGTGTCTCATCATTTGATGAGTGTCATTTGCCGAGTTTTATATACTTATTCATCTAAGTGTTCATCATTTTATTAATTAGTTTATGAGGTAGATATTTATTGTTTTAATTTGTGGTTCAAGATAACTTGTGTTGTTTGGCACTTACAACCTTTCTGGTTATGCGCCAAAAAATCCATTACCTACCACCACCATCACCGCCGCCACATATTTTACCATTTTTTCTTCTACTATTTCAGCTATTTAAATAGCGCATTTGAATAGATGTTGGAATACTATGATGCTACACATTTCAAAGAAGTTAGTTATGGCTTTCGGTGTTATTCCGTTCACTTCCATATTGAAGATTGCTACTACAGACAAATAAACAAATAATAGCAACGTTGAATAGGGAGTCAAAGGAAGTATATTAGTAGAACTTTGGAAGATTAATACATGAAGAGGAGAAAAACTCAAGCAAATATGTTAACGAAACTGAAGATTTAAATTTGTACAGGAAACTGAAAGCTTAGAGCATATAAACTATGATCTTGTGTCTTCCTCTGGATGTAATTAAACAAAGAAATAAAATTGACTAAGACTCGGTGACCAAAGGATTAAAGCTACACAATCTCATGATTATATCCTTGGTTCCATTCCTAATGAGCCCGATAGGATGGAAAAGTTTAGTAGTTTTTCTCATGCTGCGCATCCTGGACGATG